TTGCTGTGAGGACCCGCCAAGGTGACTGCCCACAGCCCCATGCCGGCATGGGGCACGGCCGCCTAGTCGCTCTGCTGCCACCCCCGTACTCTGACTCTGTGCTGTGGATTCGTGTCACCTGTGGACTTGGGTGGCGTCGGGCGTGGGAGCACGGTGTCCTCTGTGACTTCCCCACCTTGCTCGGGGCTGGTCTCCCTGGATGCTGAACCCTCAAAGTGCCTCGAGGACTGTTAGAAAGATTTTCTTGGAAAGAAACATTTGCTACCCAGGGCACAGAACAGCTCCTTGAGGTCTCCTAAACCAGTGTGAACTCGGCCCTGCTCCCAAGATTTGGAAGAAAGGCAGAAAGGGAGGCAAGCCACACGCAGGGCAATTTTCAAAGAAAAGGGCACAACTCGTAGGAGGCAGGGGAAGGATTCCATTTCACCTACAGTCATGGCCCTGTGTCTTCAGGTAATAGGATGCTGTCTGGTGCATCACCTTGGTGCTGGAGGGCATCGCAGTCCTGGGGGAGGTCACTGCCAGCGTGGCAGCCCCATAGGAAGTGGGAGGGTGGAATTCAAGGGCAAGGCTGGCGGTGGATCCTGGCCCCTGACGAGGAAGGCGGATGCAGGACCTGCCTCCACCCTGCCCAGCAGGCTGGCCACCAGGGCGTGTCCACAGACTCCAGACAAGGAGGAGAGAGTAAATTGAGGCATGTGGGGCCCAGACCCTGGGCGCATGGCTGGAGGCCTGAGGTGGCATCCCATCAGCTGGAATCAGGATTGCCTCGATCTTTGATTCCTGAGATAGGAGGAGCGTGGCGGTGGCCACAGCAGGATCCCTGAGCTCTTACACCGGTGAGGTGGTGGCATAGGCACCACACGGGGCTGGGGCCTAAGGGTACAGTGCCGGGTCTAGGTCTCCCTGAGAGTCCACCGATGGCTGTGGAACCAGGCCTCAAGGGAGCTGGGTGCAAATCCCATCCCTCCACGGAGCAGCTGTGTGACTCGAGGCTGTTTTGTCCTCTCTGCCTCAGTTTCTCTCTGGCAGCCGCTCCTCCCTGGGCCCTGACCTGACCCTGCAGGCTCAGGAGCCTGCTCCAGGCCCAGAACCTGGTGCTGCACTGGGTCCAGCCTCCAGGCCTTTGCTGATGTTGTGGCCTCCGCCTGGGATGCCTCCTGCGAGGGCTGCTGATCTCCTCTGACCCTCCCCGCCCTGGGCAGGTGCTCCGCCTGTCACAGAGGGTTCCATTAACTAGCAGCCACTCTGCCACTTGGTGAGCCCAGGAGATGTGGGCAGGCCTTGCTCTTCATCCACAAGTGGGTGGGAAAAGGCAGGAAAGGAAGTGAAGCCAAAGATGGCGTGCTCCCCCTGCACAGGGTGGCTGTCTGGGGCGGGGGGATCATGGCAGGGGCAGGGAGGGGAGGGGAGTGGTCCAGCTGAGGGCCCTGCCAGGGCCCGATGCAATGTCCCATCCTCAGATCCATCTTCAGCCGCATCCCCACACTAGGGGGAGCAGCATTTCCAAAACGCCTGCCCTGGGGTCTCTCGGAATTCAGGGGTTCCCTCTGAGGTCACACAGGCCCTACTGAAGCCAGACCCAGCAAGTCCTGGCTCCCTGGCCTAGGCCTAGGCCTGCAAGCCCGGAGCCTCAGTTTCCCTCAGTAAGTGGGACATGATGCCTTTCCACTCCTCCAGGCTTCTGCCCATCCTGTGTCACTATCCCAGCAGGTGAGTAGCTGGTCTGGTGGCCTGAGACCCTGCTTCCCTGGGGGACAGGGCTGCCATCCTCAAAGGCCAGGGTCTGGGCCAGGAGCTCCTCCATCAGCTTGCAGCCCTGGGGGAGGCTTGCAGCCCTGGAGGCCACCCCCTCTAGTGATAGAACCCACACCTCTGGGAACTGCTTCCTCTGCCTGCATGCCCCAAGCGTGGACTTGGAGGTGGTAGATGGCTGGGGCAGGGCCCTTGCCTGGCCCCTGTCTTCCTGCAGCCTGCCCTAGGCATCGGTGACTTACCCAGTGCCGGCGGGCTGCCTCAGCTGCTGCCCATTAAAAAATTTGTTCCCGGCTGGGCGCGGTGGCTCAAGCTTGTAATCCCAGCACTTTGGGAGGCCGAGACGGGCGGATCACGAGGTCAGGAGATGGAGACCATCCTGGCTAACCCGGTGAAACCCCGTCTCTACTAAAAAAATTACAAAAAACTAACCAGGCGAGGTGGTGGGCGCCTGTAGTCCCAGCTACTCGGGAGGCTGAGGCAGGAGAATGGTGTAAACCCGGGAGGCGGAGCTTGCAGTGAGCTGAGATCCGGCCACTGCACTCCAGCCTGGGCGATAGAGCGAGACTCCGTCTCAAAAACAAAACCAAACAAAACAAAAAAATTTGTTCCCAGCCAGGCGCGGTGGCTTACGCCTGTGATCCCAGCACTTTGGGAGGCTGAGGCAGGTGGATCGCCTGAGGTCAGATGTTCGAGACCAGCCTGGCCAACATGGTGAAACCCCATCTCTACTAAAAATACAAAAATTAGCTGGGCATGGTGGCAGGTGCCTGTAATCCCAACTACTCAGGAAGTTGAGGCAAAAGAATCACTTGAACCCGGGAAGTGGAGGTTGCAGTGAGCAGAGATTGTGCCACTGTACTCCATCCTGGACAACAGAGCGAGACTCAGTCTCAAAAAAAAAATTGTTCCCATGATATTCCAAATACAGTCATATACCCTAATGACATTTCAGTCAACCATGGGCCGCTTATATAATGGTGGTTCCATAAGATCAGAATACTGTATTTTTACTATACCTTTTCTATGTTTAGATACACAATACCACTGTGTTATGATCCCGTACGGTGTCCAATACAGTAACACGCTGCACAGGTGTGTAACCTAGGAGCGAAAGGCCAAACCAAACAGCCTAGGTGTGTAGTGGGCTCTGCCATCTAGGCTTGTGTAAGTTACTCTATGATGTTTGCACAAAAATGAAATTGCCAAACAATGCATTTCTCAGAACATAGCCCCATCACGTAATGCCATGAGAGGATAAGGGACAGAATTCTTGGATGCCCATTTTGGGGACAGCTACCATAGTTTGGACATTAATACATTTGGGCACATGCACATGGGCACACACATGCTAACGTGTGCATGGACGCACACCTATGCGCACACACGCCCACTCCCGGGCACATACACAGTGGGGCGGGGCAGGAAGGCTGGATGGGGCCCTGTGGTGTGCTGGGGCTCAGGCCCTTCCAGAATTCAAATGGAGAGCCTCCCAAGGAAGCAGGGAGCCCACAGGGCAAGAGATTTGGAAACTGAGTCAGGGATTTGAATCCCATCTTGTGCCCTGGGCATGCGGAATCTCCCTCCTAGTGCAGTGGGCACCCGCTGCCCAGGCTGCAGGAGCGTCTGAGGCGGCTTGTCAGCCTATAGGGACCTGCCTGGTGTCCTGCTAAGTGCTGCAGGCTGCACAAGGGGCCAACCGAAGACCCCTAAGCCCAGGAGGGACAGAGGCCAGGGACCAGATGCCACAAGTATCTGTGGGTGGGCCTGGCTGCGATGAGCAGGACAGTGCCCAGCCAATGCCCAGGAGCAGAGCCCCCAAGGCACTGATAAGCACAGTGAGGCCAGTGTCAGGCTCTGGGCTTTGGGTCTTGGTGCTGCTCCAGGAGTTGGCCCACATGGCTTCTCAGATGCTGCTCTGTGACTCCAGGCCTAGGTCAAGCCGGCCTCTCTGCTTTTCCCCCCACCTCCCTCTAGGTAAATAGGCCCCAAGATGTCACAGCATCAGAAATACAGAGAAAAAAAAAGCATAGTTAATACTGCTCCTGCCGGGAAGGCCCACAGCAGGGTGGATGGCAGTGCACCCAGCAGGTGTGACAGCCCAGTCTCCCCGTCTGCAGGGGAACCCCATGTCCCCTCAACCCCTGCTGCCTGTTACCAGCTGGACCCCGGTCTCTCCTGGTTGCTATCTGGCTTGCCTTCACATGGTTTCTGGTTCTTTCATCTTTTTATTATAATTTTTATTTGGAGAAACTTTAAAAGTAAAAGAATGTGTGCCAAAAATATGTAACCCTCTTCCACCAGACATGATACACTGGGGGGGGGGCCCATTCCTCCCAGGTTCCTTGGGTTCCCCAGCTGCCCATGACCCCTGGGTGTGCCCAGACTGCAGGGGGGTAGTCCACCCTCGCCACGTCCACAGGCCCTGACTCTTGGGTGGGTCTGGGGGCTGCTCGCCCTGGGAGAGAAGCCATCCCCTCCCGGCGGGGCCATCTATCAGGACCTCTCTGACGTCAGCATTTTCCTCTGTGGCTCTAGCTTCTTGCCTCCTATCTCTGTCCTCCTGAAAATGTCCCATCTGTCCCATTAGCCTCTGTGTCCCAGAGCCCAGTGCAAGCTCCACGGTGGAAAGGCCACTCAGCATTGTAAGTGCATGCTTGTCCTTGCGCCTCCCTCCCCGGCAGCTCTGCCTGGAGCTCCTTCCCGGCTCCAGTGAAGCTGCAGACAGCATTTCATTGCTTTGACCCGTCCCAGGGCACCTTCCTTCTAGAAGGGCGACTTGAAACCTTTTCATCACAGCACGACATATGCCCGGTCTTGCTTTGGTCGTCCGGTTTTATGTGTCCCATTTTACACTCATTTTCTTTCCCTCATGTTTTGTTTTTTCTTTTAACTAAAACGATCCATTTATTGAGTTAAAGATTGTATATTCAAGACGTTCACTCAGTATGTGATCCTGCATAGTAAACCTTGGGTGAAACAAAGACAATTCTTTTTCTAGATTTTAAAAAATTGAATGGCATATAGACTTCTAATATTTTTTGGGGGATATTCTTTTTTTCTCTAATTATGGTAAAATATCCATGACATGAAATTGGCCACTCGAATCATTTCTAAGTGAGCAGTTCAGTGGCATTAGGTACACTCTCATTGTTGTGCAACCATCACCCCCTCCATCCACAGAACTTTTTCATCTTCCCAAACTGAAACTCTGTACCCATTAAATAACAGACCCCACCCTCCCCAGCCCCTGGCAACCACTGTCTACTTTCTGTCTCCATGGATTTGACTACAGCGTGTCTAAGTGGGATCATTCAGTATTTGTCCTTTTGTGACTGGCCTATTTCACCCCTCTGTTTTATACCTTTCTGCGGCATGGCGCTTTGGCTTTCTATGTTCTGCGGCGGTGGGTGGTAAAGTGGATGTCCTGCTTTTAATTCTGAGGGCTCGCTTCTCAGTTTTCAAAAACACACTTTAATCTCTGGTTCTCCAATTATCAAGCATTTGCCATGAAATGATACTTGCTGCTCCCTAGCACTGCAGACTCTGTAAGAGACATCTCAGTCAGCATTCGGATTAAGTCAAGCCCCAGGAATCCGCACCTCCTCCACCTCATCACCCAGTAAAAAAAGGTAACGCTGAGGTATGAGAACATTCACATTAGTTCCATACGCACGCCCTCGCATGGGCCTGAGAGCACCCAGGTTCTGGTGCGAGTCCCCCACAGCCCAGGGAGGTGTTTCAGGACTAGCGCCCTGCTCAGTGCTGTGGGCTGCACAAGGGGCCAACTGAGGACTCCTCAGCCCAGGAGGGGCAGAGGCTGGGGACCACCCCATGGGCTTCCAAGATGGCCTTGGGGCCACAGGGATTATGGACAGGCTTGTACCTCCAAAGCCTTTCCAGAGAGGAAGGGACTCCACTTCCTGCTTTGGCTTGGAAAAAGTCCAGGGAAGCACCTTGATTGGCCTGACTCAGGTCACATGACATTCCCTCTGTCCAATCACTGTGGCCAAGAGAATGAGATATTGTCATTGGCCCAGCCAGGATCAGAGCTTTCCCCTGCTGCCTGGAGCAGGTCTGTCTCCAGGAGAGAGGGCTAGCCTTCAGCCTTACCTGCTGCCCCGTGAAGAACTGTCAGTCCTACTTTGCAGGTGAGCTGGCTCTGATATGAAAGTGCTCTGCTTAGTCCTGTGGCTGATCCACAACTTCATGAGGACTCAAACCTGTGTTCTTTGATTCCAGGTGGAGAAATTGAGGCCCCAAGCAGGGGAAGACTCACTGGGGTCACATGGTGAGTTGGTGGCATGAATGGGTGCTCCAGTCTACACTGTACCACCTCCTCCAGGAAGCCTTCCTGGCTTGGTTGAGCCAGGCCTGGGGTAGTCACCACCTGATGTCACATCCCCTTGAGACAAAGCTCCATCCCCCCTACTCCCAGGCACCTATCCCCAGTGTCCAGGACATGGCTACTGGATTCAGGCAGCTTCTGCAGATGAGCTCCCCGCCCTATGTCCAGGAGGTTTCTGGAATCGACAGCTCTCCATGCCACAATACCCTCCATGGCTATTTAGGGAATACCCAGTGTGTGCCAGGTTTGGCTGGCCTGGGAGAGTACACAGTGGACACTGGTCACCAGGAGGCACAGGGGGCCAGTCCGCACCCTTCCACAGTCAGGCCTGGGGAATGGGTTGGGGACTGACCTGGAGGAGCGAGGGGCAGCAGGAAGGGCTGGCTGGGCCTCAGCTCTCTTGCTTACCTTGCATTCTCTCGATGGCCCTGGCTAGACACATGCTGGCCAACCCAGGCCCTGCTCATGTTTCAGCACAATGACCCTGCTCTGCCTCCCTCCCCAAGACTCTGGGCTGTGCAACCGGGGCCAGACCTGCTCCTTCAGCTGCACCAAAGCCTGGCTGTGCCTCTGCGTGTCAGTGGCCAAGCCCTAAGCCTGGAGCCGTCCAGAGCCGCACGGAACTCCAGGCCTGCAGGGTGGAGTAGACATGGCTCCTCCTGGGTCGTACACCACCTCGTTAGAGCCAAAGCAGCATCGATTTTGTGAATGATGAGCATGTGTAAGTGTTTATGGAGCCCTGGCGTGATTTGGCGTGTGCAGCTGATGATTCGGGGGCTACGTGTGCAAACGATAGGCCTTATAAATGCGCACCCACCAGAAAGCCCCATTACAGAGATTTACACCGATCCTTAAACATCGTAGATTAATTTTTGGAAAACATCTATAAAATAAGAGATTTATACCTAAAACAATACCGTATGCTGTGACAGGAAGGGATTAGAGTCAACTGATTCCTGTATTAGTCAGAAACTCAATTTCATATATTGTGTGAAAAAATTAAAACCCTTTCTGCATTTTATTACAAATTATGCCTACTCCATATATGGAGATAAATAATTGATAGCATTACAAATACTTAATCTAGAAAATATTTATTAGGAACAGACAACTCATTTTTCCTGTGTTTTGTTGAGAACAATATTGCACACTTTAAAAAATTAATGATGACTCTTTGCAAAGAGAAATGTCTACATCCTAATTCTTTTGTTTAGCGTTGTGTCCAAGCCAGGCAGATGCAGCTGAGCAGTGGCAGATGGGCATGGAGCCGGGATGTCCACTCCCTGGGCCCTGGCTGTGGATGGGCCAGAGGGCTCAGGTGCCATTTCAGTTGGCCAGGGAAGGTGCATTTGGAGAGTGTCAACATACTGTTTGTCTTCTGCTGTGCAAAGTCTTCTCAACTTGTAATTTAAAGATAAAATTGTTTCTGACTTAATTTCTGAGAAAGCACCAAGTAATGAAATTTGTGGGTGGACTTGAAGAGCCAAGAAATCAAGACTGGCTGCCTCTCGACCTGGAGAATTACGGAGCCCATGAATTATCTGGGCCTCAGTTCAGGTCCCAGGCTCCGTGCACAAAGAGAGGTGGGCCTGGTGGGTGGTGCGGAGCTTGGCCTTGTACTTCATGGCTGGCTCAGTCTGCCTTCCTGGGATGTGTGGCCCTGCTGGGTTCTCTGTGCCTCCTGGCATCTCTCTGAGGGGAGCTCCCAGCCTCTGCCTAGAATACCTGGGCAGCATGGACAGACCTGGGGCCTCCTGCACCGTCACCCCATTCCAGGCTGGGAAGCTTGAGGACCCAGGCAGCGTCCCAGTGTGCCACAGGGCTTCGCCACTGTGCAACTGCACTGCAGCTCTGACCTCTGGCTGAGCCTCGCTCACTGACCTCTGCCCTCTGCCCTCTGTCCTCCACCCTGGCCATGCACAGCAGGGGCTGGGCCGGCACATGGGGGAGACTGCCAAGGGAGCCCTGGCAAGTTCTCTTCACCCTTGTGCCAGCTACTCCAGGGAGCACCAGGGATTGAATAAATAACTGCCACGTTTATTAAAAAATAAATTTGGTGCCTAACGGAAGTGCTGTTTCTATACATAGAAAAAAATGTTTAAAATAAAAACCAAAACAGTTCTCAAAGGCGCTGTGGCATTAATTATTCATCTCTTGCTAATGAAAACATGGCATTGCAGGCGTGGCCCCCATCCCTCCAAATAAGGTTTAGGGCTCAGGGAAAGCCTGGCCTTAAGGGCAGGGAGCTGGTGACCCCTGAATAAAATGGGGGGTGACTGTGATATCCTCCATGGCTATTTAGGGAGCACCCAGGGTGTGCCAGGCTCGATTGGGCTGGGGGAATGCACAGTGGGAACTGGTCACCAGGCAGGTGCAGGGGGCAGTCCGCACCACTCCTTAGTCAGGCCTGGGGAATGGCTTGGTGTCTGACCTGGAGGAGGGAGGGGGCAGCAGGAAGGGCTGGCTGGGCAGCAGAGCCACCTCTTGGAGGAGAGAAATGGGGACAGAGGCCACCCTGGCCAGTGCCAGAGGACAGCGCTACATGTCTGGACACCCAGGCCAGAGGTCTGGCAAACCCCCACAGGGTGGGTGGCTGAGGCCCTGTTGTAAGTCATTTGATGACCCAACCACTCCCTCAGATGCTGCTGGATCCCAGACAGAGGGAGACAGGGAGCCTGCAGGCCTTGCGGGAACCTAGGTGTGTCGTGCCCCACCAGCCAGGACCAGCCACGTGGTGGTGCCACACCAGAAAGGGCCTGCCTGCCAGGCAGTCAGGGGCAGATGGGAGCAACTTGGGAAGGAGTGGCAGGAACCTCCACTCCCTCTGCCTCCACCTCTCCAGCAGACCCATATGGCACACACTGCCCAGCTGCGTGCAGCAGGGAAATTGGCGCCAGGTCTCGGGCACCCGAGCCCACACTGGACATCTCTGTCCTGTAGCTGATCCTGGGCACTGATAGGAACCCCGAACAAAGCTGAGTCCAGGGCCCTGTAGACTGGGCTCCCTATCCTCAGGGCCCGGAAGCTCCTCCTCCTGCAGTCACCTGGGGCAACCCTAGCTCTGTGGGGAGTCCTGGAGCATTTGTTCTTTTGTTCATTCATTCATTTATTTATCCACATGTGCCCCTGAGCTGGTCAGCTGGTCTCCTGGGGAGAGGGGGTGCTGATTTCACCAGTTGCCTGCCTGGCCAGGGAGTCTGGAAGACCCAGAGGAAGCCTCTCTGAGCTGCCGTGGGTGCAGGTAGTATCCAGGGCGACAGCTCCTGGGCGGGAGATGAGCTGTGCCCTGAGGCGGTGAAGTGGAACCCCAGCAGGGGCCTTTGAAGCTCCAGCAGCGCCTAGGGCAGATGGGGGAGGGGGAAGAGGCTGCAGGGAGGGGCCTGAGGGTGAGTCTCCATCTCTGCTGGGCGGCTCCATCCTGGTTAGCAAGGGCTCTCATATCCTGGCCCCTGTGCTGGCTCCTGGGATGTGGAGTGGAACCTGCATCCCCGCTGCCCACGTGCAAGGAACTGGGCTGCCAGGGCTCCAGCTGGGCCCCAGGCTCAGGGTTTGTGTGCTGGAGACCTGGCAAAGCTGGACAGAGCCTGGAGGGACCTGGCCCTGCGGCGGCCCGGCTTGGTGTACTCAGAAGGCCGGATGGGAGCTGGCCTGGACATCTCTGCCTGATTTAAGCCTGGGAGCCGGCGAGGGGAGGCAGTTGGGCCTGCCACCCCGCCGCCCCCACTGGCCTCTCCCGCCAGTGGGCCTGACCTCGCTGGAAGCATCCCTCAGCCTGGTATGGATTTCCTGTCTTCACTGAGGCCGCAGCGCCGGCTGGGCACAGGAGCTGAGTGGCGGTCAGGCCCAGGGATGGTTTTCGTTTGTGGGGCAGGGGCTGAGGGGACCCAAACCTTCCAAACCTGGGGCATTCTCTTCTCACCTGTCACTCCGTGGCTCGCTTTGATGGCTCTTGGTCTGGCATGGGTGCTGGGCCCACCCTGTGGTGTGGGCAGCTGTCCAGCCTAGAGCCTGCCTCTGACCCTGGGCCTATCTTTAGGGCCCCTTCCAGGGCTGCAGCAGCAGGGACACAATTGCTGAGCTCAGCCTGTGTCAGGTGCACAAGTGACCTCACTTGGGAGACAGTGCAGTGGCAGTGGGCCCAGAGAGGGCTCTTCAGCTCCCAGTCACACAGCCAGGCCAGGAGAGGTGCACACCCTGGTCCCTGATTTCCCCATTGGCACAGGCTGGACTGAGGAGCGGGGTGGGGACCCTGGGTGGGGAAGAGGAAGGAACTGGGCATGGGGGAGAGCCAGGGACCAGAGGGCATCTTGGAGATGAAGGAACAGGTGAGCCCAGGAGGGCACACACCATGGCACAGCAGGCAGACATACATGCCCATATGGCAGCATGCTCTCTCACACACACACATGCTCACATGGGCAGCACGCTCACACACAGATGTGCATATGGGCAGCACACTCACACACACGCACGACATGGGCAGCACACACATGTACACATAAGTAGCATGCTCACACACGCACACATGGGCAGCATGCTCACACACACACACATGAGCAACACGTTCACACATGCACACATGGGCAGCACACTCACACACATGCACACATGGGCAGCACACTCACACACACATGCACACATGGGCAGCTCGCTCACACACACATGCACACATGGGCAGCACGCTCACACACATGCACACATGGGCAGCTCGCTCACACACATGCACACATGGGCAGCACGCTCACACACATGCACACATGGGCAGCTCGCTCACACACACATGCACACATGGGCAGCTCGCTCACACACACATGCACACATGGGCAGCACACTCACACACATGCACACATGGGCAGCACACACACACATGCACACATGGGCAACACGCTCACACACACATGCACACATGGGCAGCACACACACACATGCACACATGGGCAGCTCGCTCACACACACATGGGTGCTCAGCCACACACATGCAATAATGCAGCATGGGCAGTAAAGAGATACGCAGATGCACACGTGGGCCACACATTTCACACACACATGCACATATGCATGCACATGGGAAGTAGCCACACACATGCACACATGGCAGCACGCCGTACACACATTACTCATTACCTGTGCACATGGCAGCAAGATATCGAGGACATCGGGGCGGTATATTTTAAGACACACATGTCACATGCACATATGCATGCACATGGGAAGTATGCTCACACACATGCATGCACACATGGGCAGCACATTCATTCGTGTACATATGTGCATACCTGGGCAGTATGCTCACATACACACACCCGTGTGGGCAGCACACACAGGCACACCTGGACAGCATACTTACACATGTGCAGCACACATACACAAGGCAGCATGCTCACAGACACACACGTGCACACACACAAGCACACTCAGAACAAACTGTGGGGCCTGCGGCGAGGACAGTGGGGGCACCGGGCAGGCAAAGCGGCTGCTGCAGAAATAATTAGTCCCTGGTAGACAGGCCTGGCTCACCTTCTCCAAAGCCAAAAGGTGGCTGCCAGCCCCCAGCTCTGGGGAAGGGCTCTGAGGCCCCGCCCCCACTTTGCAGTGGTTCCCGGGACCTGCAGGGAGCATCCCAAGCAGGGGCCGTGGGGTGTGGGGCTGTGCCATGTGATCCCTGAGGCTGGGCCTGGCCGGGCATGCCTAGGCCCCTGCAAACCCCGCATGTCCCCAGATCCCCCAGCACAGCAGCAGTGCGGGGAGTGGACACGTGAAGATGGGGAAGGAGGCTGGAGGTTCAGGGCTGCCCTGTGTTCTCATTGGAGTGGGGGTAGGAGCACTTCAGGTCTGGTTGGCCCCTGTGAGGGTGTTGGGGACCCCAGGCCAGGCCTGGGTCAGATTCATCACTCCCTGGAGGAGGCATCTGAGTCCAGGGATGCTGGACAGGCTGGTCCCAGGTCTCCAAGCTGACTCGGCCTCAGGCATATGGGCATCCACAGATATCTGGGGCCAGGCCCAGGCTGGGGGCAGCTAGCAGGATGCAGGAACTCCCAGGCCCTCAGCTTGCAGCACAGAGAAGGGTAACTGCTCTGCTGTTAAAACAATTTATTTTGCTCTTCAAAAAGCTAAGAGCTGTGTACAGTCAGCGTGTGGGAGCTGCCCCCTGGGTGACATATTCTGCCGATCCAGCCCTCCTTTGCCTTCCGGTGAGGAGGGGTCGTCCCAGGCTTCGGGTCAGGATGGGCAGAGCAGACCACTGGGAGCTGGGCCATGATGTTCCTAGTCACTCCATGTCCCCTCGGCTGCTGTTCTGTGTGCTGCCCTGGGAGAGTGCGGGGGGGGGGGCGGCCCCGAGGCTGATACGAGGTGGCACGGTGATGCGAGGGGGTCAGGAGGGAGGACCACTGTGGGAGGCGTGGAGTGCAGTGGGGAGGTCAGCG